AAAATCCAGTGGTAGTAACAACAACTTGCACAGTACCACATTAATCAAAACCAAATTATGTTACATATCCCAATACAGAAACTAGCAAATAAAAAAAATTGATAGTAGTTACCTGAAATCGTATGCAGCAAATCCTGTTATTGAAACTCCAAAATCTGACTGACCAAAATAATGGCACAGTCCTGTCTGAGCTTTAAAAGTGTATTCTGAATCTCTCACGAGTTTTACTTTTGTCTGCAATAAGAGAAATGAATGAGAATTCAATGTGTCTTGACTTTAGCTCTATGCAGATCACACCAGGCATTGAAACCAGCCACAGAACTGACTCAAAATACAGTATGTTCTTAGTGACATTAGAAATAAGAATATGATGTTGGGAGATAAGATATTTATTATCTATAGTTTCTCTGTTTGCAGAGAGAGTTCGAGAAGGGATTTGGATGTTCCTTCATTCTCTCCAAATGACATTCACACATAAAATTTTCCTTTCTTTAGAACAGTTCAAGAACCACAAATATCCCATATACAGTTATACAAAAAATCTTAAATGAAGTCCAATTCTGCTATTGACTTCAAATATTTATGCCACTATATAACTGCATTATGGCTGCCATGGTTCAAAGTCCAGCTGCAAAGCTATTGTATCAACCTTTTGTACTTGTCTTCTGCAATACAGTATTTTGAGATAGTGTCTTCTCCAGTCTAATTCACTTGTAGGCCCTCTGCTGTCAGTCAAGAGGGAGTTTTGCTTTGGAGGAATCCAGATGAATATCCTCTATCTTTCTTGAAATGCAAACATAAACAAGTTATCTAGACTACTACTAGTAGGGATTATATGAATCTTTATGGGTAGAATTATAGAGTTCCTTAAAAAGAATAATCAGCCTTTTTAAAAAAATAAAAATAAGAACTGATGGATTCTTTTTATATTTTTGCAACTCAAACTGACTTCCTAGAGAGTACGTTTTATTTCAAAATATATTAAAATGTTTCCACTTACATGTATTATAAACACACGCTTTGCATTTTTAGAATGGAATGTACCAGCTATCACTAAAGTAGAATTCTTTTTCGAAATTATGCCTGCATTTTGATTGTTTCAGGTTGCAAGTGATACAAAGATAAACAAGGTTGATTTTATTTTGAGATCCCCAAACTTCTGTATGATTTTACAGTGTTTGTAACATAACGATAGAAACTTGAAAACTGAAAATCTCTATCCCTCCTTTTCCCCAGATGTTGGTGCCCAAACCAGAAACTCAAATCCACATAATGACACTTGGATCAATGGCTCCTTCTACATTGGTACTGTATGTCTGTTCTTTCCATTGATTTCAGTAGCAGTACTGCACCTTTCATGTAACATTGTTCTCAGACCTATAAGCTGAATTATTATATTCACAAGCAACATATATAGATGCTGAAATTCAAATCATTTCAATTCTGTATGAAGCAATGCTTAATTCTAGACTAAATACATAGATGTATACATATAAATACATGCATACATATATGCATATAAAACTATACGTACACGTAGCTCATCCAATTTTTATACTGAAAGTATATGTATTTTATATATGCAGGTGTGTGTGTAAAGCATACACTGACTCTTCCCCATCATTTTTCCCCAGTAAAAGAAAAAAAAAAGCCAATATGAAAATTTAGGAAGGGTTCATAATTTATGAAAAGTTTCAAACCTGATTCAGCCAGCTCAGAGCACTTATAGTGGATCCCCCGCTGCAACCATAGTTATTGTATGAACAATCAATAACCTGCTGCACACTGAGTTCTTCCAGGTTATTTCTTTTAATTGCATAGGCAGACTCTATACCACCCACAACACTGAAGGCCCAGCAGCCTCCACACTGGTACAAAGAGAAGGGAAATAGGAGAAAAAAATTAAAAAGTCAGCTTTGTTTTTGAAGTCTGATATGGAGAGAAAAAAATAGTTCAAAGCGTTTCCCAAGGCTCTTCATTTTAAATCATCATCATCTTAAATCAATATTTTTGAAGTCTTGTTAAGTTTCTTTCTTAGTGCCTTAAATTTTTTTTTTATTTTTTTTTCTCCCTCCTGTAGTACACTGTGAAAGCTAGAAATGCATTATCAGGATCTTATTTTAAGGATTCCTGACTCGTTTTTGCTATGATAAAAAACAGCCCTTTAAAATAGGTCTGAAGATGCTTTTTACTGTGAGATATGTATTTTCTTAGTTAGAGACTGTCTAATCCCACTCTGCACGTTACTCTGTATACGTTCAACTAGCCATACTTGTGTCAGCGCTCCAAGAGCCTTGAGGCAGTGCCGATCCTTTCCTTTCCTTCATTGTGCTCTGCGATGTACTTGCTGGAACTGTCTCTGAGCAGTACTTGAGAATCAGGAAAGCAAAACACCAGGACTTACTGTTTGCTGATTTCTCACTTCTGCAATGACCTTCTTGTCCCTCCAGTCAAACTTCTTTGGCAAAGGTTTTTCCTTTCCCTTTGGCACTTTTATGTATCTGGGTAGTTTGTGAGGTATGCTTCTTAAGTAAATAGCTAAACACAGAATACAAACATTTATAAATCTTGTAACACAAAAAAAAAAAGAAAAGAAAGAAACACAAAAACAACTTTTTTTTTAGAAGCCATAAAGGTAAACTTTATCTGTAATTACAATCGTGAAATTATATCTCATTCTCAAATCCACAGAGAAATTAAATGTCTTAAAATACTGATCATACTCCAGAACAAATTTGAGTATGCCTACATTTCTAGAAAGAACAGAAATATTCCATGTGAGAACATGAGTACGGAGTATGAAGACTTACTGAAGCTAATCAATAATAAATAAGTTTTATTAGAATGTTCACAATATGTTACTTACTGAAAATATGACATTATTTTAGTAAGAAAAAAAGGAAAAAAATAGATGAAAAAATAAAGATTTTGAAACACACTCAAGTTGTAAGTTTTTCACTCAAGAAAAAAGCTCTTTAGTTATCTAAAATCAAAACAAGGTTTGAAATCACTGCAATGAATAGTATGGTATCTAACAGCAGACTTGAACTGTAGAGTGAAAAATCAGGTTAGGTAACAGAGAAATCTCAGTAAAAAAGAAAAAAAAGAAGCTGGCCATATTGTTCCCAATAATCATAGCTATAATTGCACAGCCTTTGACTGATGAGCACTGTTTGGATCGTAGCCCATTTTGTCTTAGGATTGGGAAAAGGAACTTAAGACTACTGAAGAACATTGACTATTTTTCACTTTTACAACTGTTGTAACTGAAAATGGTCTTAAGGCCCTGTGAGAAGCAAGAAAGAAGAAAAAGTCTGCATGCTAAATCAAAGTCAGGCTCTAAGCTATTCAATCTTGCAAGACCAAAGAAACATGAAGAGGATTGTTGTATCCTTCAGAAGTACTTACAGTTTGGTACCAGACATTGTAAACTAGCTGATTATCAGCACTGGAAGAATCTGTAAATGTGAAAAATACAAGGTTCTGGAAAAGAGTAAGAAAAAAAACAATAGGAAAGATATTAGCAGCAGCCAAAAACTGTACCTTTGAACTCTTCAGGAAATAGGTGAGAAAACTGGTTTATTCCATAGAATGCAGATGTGTTATCATTTGATGACGAATTCAGAAATCTAACTCTTTTAGCGCTTTCCTAAAGAAAAAACAAAGGTATTGTGGATATTATTAAGTTACCATTAGTGACAAAATCGTAAGAGCAGGAAAAGGTTACAAACAGTAAACATGAACTTGGATAACAAGACAGCTGTTCACCTCAGATTCAACCCAGCTTCATCCTGTATTCCTATCAACCCAAAGCCATGACTAATTTCAACTCCAAGAAAGATACCAAGAAACATTTTTAAAAGCATAGAGAAGGAAGGAAAGTGATTCAAGGCAAGCCAAACAAATAAGCTGAGAACAAATTGTGTCAAACCCATCTGATGCCCTTCTTTGACAGCTCAGCTAACCTTGTGGTTCAGAGATACGTAAAAACATCTTGTCTTTCTTTAGATTAGATTTAATCCTGCCTTATGTTTGTACAAAACAAAAGGGCTGTACAAGGGCCAAAAGACTTTCAGAAACCCAAACTTATCAGGAAACCTAGATCTTTGAAAAACAAGTTTCTGAAATATGAGAGCAAGGCGATCTGACCCCCCTGCAACTTCTTCTGACAAAGCTCAATATGAAGCATGAAAAAGGTGTTAAGACACCTTCTCCTCTGGGTATGCAACCCAGACTTCATCACGCACCCTTCAGCAGAAGGCACCGCTCGGCCCATGCTGGTTTATGGCACAAGGGGGGCAGGATCGCACCTTCAGTCCCACCACCACGAGCAGCCACCGACCCCCCGGGGGCTGGCAGCAGCCTGGCCCTCAGCCTCCCTGCCCGGCCAGAGCGGGCACCCCAGCACCAGGGCAAGGGGGCACCCGGGGGGAGGCTGACACCTCGCGTCCGAAACGGGGAAGGAAGAACAGCAACAACTGCTCCTTCCTCTTCCTCCTCCTCCTCCTCCTGCCTAGCGCAGATCGCGAGGGTAGGGGCGTGCAGGGCACCTACCCGCAGGGCGGCCGCCACCGTTTCCCTCTCCCGGCCGCCTCCATCCCACCGAGGATGTCCCGGCCCGCCGCTGCCCTCCTCCCCACGCCAGGTGCTAACGGGCAGCTGGGCAGCGGCAGTAGCCAGCCATAGCAGGGAGCACAAGAGCCCCATCGCCGGCAGCCCCATCGCCGAGGGACCCCAGCGGCACCCCACTCTCTGCCGGCTTCCCCGCCGCCGCCCCGCCCCCGGCCGCCATGTCATGGCGGGGTGGGGCCGCGGGGGGACGCCCCGTGCTCGCCGCAGGGCTTGCAGTCGGGCTGTTTATCTGGGGAGACGGGGGTCTGAAGACTTTTGTTTTTTAAGCCTCTACCGAAACGCAGCCCCCGCTTCATCCCGCAGCGGGACCCTACGAGCCCACGGTTGCAGCCACCGAGAGGGGGGACAGAGAGGGCGGAGCATAAAATGGCCGCCGCCCCCCAAGGGGCAGGGCGTGCTGCTTGAGGTGGTCCTGGGCTGGCGCTGCTTTCGGGGGTACTGGCTCGGGTCCTTTACACCAGGGGTTTTCCAGTTCCTGGAAAAAAACTCGTGTTTTGGGGGTGTGGGAGATGAGTGTGAGGCTGTACGAGAGCCGTGCTGTGCAGCAGACAGGCTGTGCCGGCGTGTGAAACAACAGCTGCAGGCTTCAGGGACAAAAACTAGGGGAAAAGAGGAGCTGAGCATTCAATTAACTATGAGGTAGAAAATCAGTAGAAAACTTTCCCTGAGAGGAAAATGAGTTGATACGTGCAAACTGGACTCTTATTAGGAAGGAGGAGTAGCTACTTCCTTGAGGCAGCTTAGTTTGTGGCCTTTAGCATGGGAAGGCTTCATTGGGGTGTGAAGAGTTACAATGTATTACAAAGTCAATCTCCACAGCCTTTGATATCCTGTACGCGTGTTACAGTAGAAGAAAAACATTGAAAAAAAGTAACTGCATGTGCTCATGGCAGCTGCTCTGCTTCTTTAGAAACTATTCAAGTGCTGATACTTAGGAAAGCAGGTTAGTGTTTGGCATCTAAAGCTTTTTGTTATGCTGGTGTAAATTAACAAAATTCTATTTTGTTTATTTCCATTGTTAAATGCTTTACATATTTAATGTTTGTAAATAGAGTAGTTCTGTGTTTAAACGTAATGTATTATTTTTCGGTTACTTTTTCTCCTGCAATCTTGCTACAACAACATAAAAACATACACGCCCTGTCCTGTGGTAGCAGCAGCAAAACGTGCAGCTCTGAGTTTACTAAATGCTGAAAGTTTAAGTTACAGAGTGGGAAATGTTGCTGTCACAACTATGTTGTATAACACCAAACTTTGTGTCAGTGTGCACTCTGTAGAGCATTGCACCAATACCTATTTTTTGTAGCATGTAGCATTTTACTTGGTAACACAAATTTGAAAGAAAAATTATAGTGTATGAAACATAAGATGCCTAAATATTTAATTTCTAGACAGGTAGATATATACAATCTTGGCAAGCAAAACACAAAAATGCTAACAGTTTCAAGCTAACAGCTCTAGCGTGTGGAGCTGGATGCAGGGTTGGTTGGGGAGGGCCTACAGCCCAGCTCGAGGTCTCTGAGGCAATGCAGCTGCACCATTCCCTGTCCTGTCAGTCATGGCTCAAGTACCTGAGATACCTAGGTTTGTTGGCTTCTGAGATTCTATTTATCATTATTATTATTTTAAAAATTATTTTAAAGTGTTCCTCATTAAAATTTTAACTCCTATTTGAGGAGATGCCGTGTGACTTCATCAGTATGAGTGCTTTACTGATGTCTGGCACCTCACCATGTGTGACTGGAAAATTTTAAATTTAAAATGTAAATAGCTTTTATCAGAAGCAGTATGGAGTCCTACACATTGCATAATAATATTAATGTCCTCCCCCCTCTCATAAAATGGACTTTTCTGGTTTTTGTGATGAGAAGGGTAGAAGTATTTTGATGTTGGCTGTGTTTTCTTGGACATCACAAACTACTGAAAGGTACTTCAAAAGCTTTTGTGAATATCACTGTGGTTTTCCAAAGCAGGACTAAGAATGACAAAATTGGGATAACGGGAAAGTTTTCAGATCACATTTTCTATTTGATTTTTAGTTTATTTTTATTTGCTTTATTCCATCTTGTTCTGCCAACCTAACTAAGATTTTTATGGGTGAACCAAAATCAGTGCAGGGCTTGAATAGCACCTCCTTTAGATGCTGTGTTTGCTAGCTTAAATTGAGCAACTAAACAGCATTATTTATTTATTTATTTATTTATTTTTCCTGGAATGGGACTACTTTAACAGAATTATCTGTCAGGGGAAGTGAGAACAAAAACCACTACATTCGTGAGAGGACAACAGTTCTTTCCAGTCTACCACGCTGATAAAGGAGCACTTGTATTTAAAAAGAAAAAAAATATCCTTATTCTGCTCTGTAGCCTGGAGTTCTATGTACTTTTGTAGTAAAGAGAGAAGTTAACATACCACCATTACTGAGAAGTTGAAACAGTTTAAGGAACACATACATTGGCAGATCGATTAATTATAAAACAATCATGGCAGTTCAGGAACCTCCTGGCAGTATAAGTAAAACTCTGATCTGATCCCACCACATAGCTCATGTCCAGGGCTGAATAAACCTGTAGCTAATCATGATCCAGCTTTGCCTCCCCCCTCCCATCAGGCTGCTGTTGAGGTTCAGCTGAACTGTTGCAAGCTTTGATGCATGAGCACTACTTATGCTTTATATCCAGGGTATGAAAGAGTATCTTAACAAAACAGCTGTTACTGAGTGCTCTTGATATGTTTTATCACTGCAAACCCAGGACTGGCATAAGAGATATTGTAGTAACTTATTATAAATTTGTGCTGACATAATGAGCATAGGAACTGGATAAGACAAAGATAGCAATGTGGGAAGTGCATGGTGAAACCCTTTTAATGAGAGCCTGAACCTCAGTAGCCAAATTCTGAGTGCAAAACTGAGTTTGGGCATCTACTAATGGAGTCTGTTGGGTTGCAGTACCAGATGGACACTTTTGTCTGGGTCTTTATCTTGGGAGAGGCCCTTGGGAGGAGTGCAGGGCGGAGGCTCACAAGGAATGTCAAAAGAAAGCTTGATTTGTGAACCATCGCTTTGGATATAGTGGTCATAAGAATACAGGAAGGTTTACCACTGTAACAGTCACATGATTTTATTTTGCATAGGATGGTATAATGGAACAGGAGAGAAGTTAAATACGATAAAGGATGAGTAAAGTATGATTACCTTAAAATGAAGATATTTTCTTATTTTTAATATATAATCATTTCATTCTTGTAAATCAGTTGACTTTTTTAGAATTCAATAAACTTTTAGTTATTTTTCAGTTTTTATTTCCATCGACCATGTATTGTTTGTAACAGAAGAAGCTGTTGTCTAGGTCAGAAAAGCTTTCTTTTTCTGTGCAGAGACATTGAGTTGTTTTTTTCCTGAGAAACACATGAGGGCAGCAAAGGACCTTTGGAAAGGTGTTTGCAAACCATGCAGTTATTTGAAAAACAAAAACAAAACGAGAAACAAACATTAACAACAAAAACCCTCCTATTTTGGGAAAATAGATTTATCCTAGATTGATTAATGGAAAAAAAAAAAACATATGAGCAGGAAAAAATGTTTTGTTTCTGAATTTGCCCTCTCAGTGTAGATGCCTCAATTTATCTTGTTCATAAGGAGAGTGTGCCAGAAAAATCAGTGTCTTCTCTGATGACAAGCTCAGGGAGAAGTTAAAACAGTTAAAGGTGGGCGACTGACAGCCAAAGTGTTTCAGAATATTTAATTTTTCCACTAAACTACCGTAGTACAAAGCACTTTGTTCTTGAGCTTAGATGAACAAAACACAAGTACATGGAGAGCTCTGCCTCCAGGTACACAGTTTCTGCTCTATTTTGAATTATTCCAGTGTGAATCCATTTCTGCTTCATAAAGATAAAAGGAAGCAGACATGTAAAAATATAATCAGGCCTGTGAAAAAGGAATAGCATGTAAAGTTTTTTTAAAGGCCTTGTTGATTTATTTATGTTGATTACTGTTCCTTCAGTGGCACAAAAAAGTCTTATATTAGTTACACAAGCCACCCTAGGCAGGTGATTAAAATCTTTTTTACATAAGTGTATATTTTATTTATATTGCAAAACTTTTTTTAAAAAAGTCTAATGCTGAATGTTATAAGTGTAAATGCTTATATTATATTTTACTAGCATTTACACATCTCTTTACTGTTCTGGCTGTTTGCTAGAAATATTTCACTAGTCCAAACAATGCATACTAAAGGAAGAAACAATAACGAATATATATTTTGGAACTTCTAAATTAATAATTTTAAAATACTTTCTTTAAATGAATACATTCCTGTATTAACAAAACATAGTTCTCATCTAGTGCAAAATACCCACCTCTAAAGTGATCCATAACTTCCAGCAATGTAATTAGTGGGTGGATTTTCATACTATTACAGGGTCAGAATTAACATATTAATATTTAGTAGACTAGCTTCCCCCTCACCTCCAGTGACTTTTAATAGCTATTTGAAACGGTTAATTGAATCTTGTAAGACAGTTTAGCTTTGGTGCACTTTGGCTTCTGTGTTTATAATTATCATAGCAAACAAGGAAAAAGTACAACAAATTACTTCTGAGTTGAAGATGGGTCTTCCAGGATGGGAAGTGCCACTGCTAAGGTCAGTAATGAGAAGTGGTAATCAAGTGTTAATGAATATGTGGGGAAGATGTATGGTTTCCACTTTGATAGTTATCTACCTAGCTATCTGCATAGTTTGGACTATTGCCTTTTGCATGTGTATAAGATGTTTAAAGAATTGAAGAAAAATAAATCCCTTTCTATTGTGCAGCCTTGAGCCTGTTAGGAGAAATAATCTAAATCTAGCAGCAGATGGAGCTGAGCACCTTTTCTTAAGAAGGCGTGTTGGGAAATACGATTTCAGGATAAGTCTAAGGCTATATTTTAAGACCTTGCTATGGTGTTGTTGAATAATATAGTTGCACTGGTAACAGTTACTAAATGTAAACAAAGAAAGTGCAAATTGCAGTTTTGGGGTGAAATCTGGACCCATGTAAGCCAAAGCAAGGGTAAATAAGCAGCATTGCTGTAGCTACCGTTCAGAAGTCTTTTTTAAGTTGTGGGTTAGACTTTGAACATTGTAAGCAGAGGAGAAAATTATTCATGGTAATAGTTGGATTTATGAGAATAACCAAGATGTATAAGGAGTTGCCATAGCTAGATTATGAGAAATATCTTGGTTGACCAGGAACTTTTTCCTGTTAGAGCTGTCTTTGCAAATAATGAAAGAACTGTAGGACCTGCATCTCAAGCCTGGCTTTTCTGTATTTCAGCTGAATGTCCAAGCCACTAGTAAGTCTCTGACCTTTTTTTTTTTTTTTTTTTAACCTTCTTTCTCTCTCTCTATCCAGTCTTGTCAGTAGGGGTGAATTATGAATGAAGAAGGCTGGCAGTAGAGTTAATAATTCAAATCAAATGATGAACAAATATTTGAAAATGCAGAAAAATGCAGTTAGGTGTTACACTGTCGTAAGAGGAGCAGCAGCTGTTCTGGATGAGACAAGTAAAAAGTCATGAATGTGAGAGATGGTTTTTAAGTTAGGGACTTCAAACTCTTATTTTCTCTATCCTTGTTGTCAGTCCTACTTTCTTGTGTGTATAACACCTTGCTGTTAAGTATTAACAGCAAACGTCTCAGATCCAGAGCACTAAAGCTTATTTTCCTTTTCACTTTTTTTTTTTTTTTTTCCCTTCTTTAATATTTAATTATCCTCTGAGACTGAGATAAATGGTCAAATTTCAGGAAGAAATCTGTGCAGTACTGGGTGCAGCCTGGTTCAAGGATACAAGGTATTGATAAACATTTATTCACTTAAATCAATTTTATTTCTTTCAACAAACCATTTTATTATGGGAGGTGGGCAGAGTGCTCGTGAGTAGGAGTAGTAACTGTTTTT